TAATCAGTAGCCAAACTCATCAAAAGAGAAAGAGAACTAAAATAATAATAATAATAATCAGAAATTAAAGAAATAACAATCAACACCTCGGAAATACAGAAAATTATAAGAGGATATTATGAAAAATTATAGGTCAGTAAATTGGACAAACTAGAAGAAATGGATAAATTCCTAGAAACATATAAACTACCAAAACTGAAGCAGGAAGACATAGAAAATTTGAACAGATTAAATACCAGCAATTAAGTTGAATTAGTAATCAAAAAACTCCCAACAAACAAAAGTCCAAGACCAGATGGCTTTAAGGCAAAATTCTACCAAACATTTTAAGTAGAATTAATACCTATTCTTTTCAAACTACTCCAAAAAATAGGAGAAGAAAACCAAGGAGAGGCCAGCATTATCCTGACACCAAAACCACCAAAAATAGAACTACAGGCCAATATCTCTGATGAACATAGATGCAAGAGTCCTCAACAAAATATTAGCAAACAAAATCCAACAATACAGTAACAAAATCATTCATCACCATTACGTAGGATTTATTCCCAGGATACAATATTTGGCTCAATACTTGCAAATAAATCAATGTGATACATCACATCAACAAAAGAAAGCATACAAACCATATGATAATTTCAGTAGATGCAAAAAAAAAGCATTTGAGTACAACATCCATCCCTGATAAAAACCCTCAATAAAGTAGGTTTAGAGGGAACATACCTCAACGTAATAAAGGCCATATATGAAAAACCCACAGCTAACATCATACTCAATGGTGAAAAACTGAAAGCTTTCCCCCAAGATCAAGAACAAGATGAGGATGTCCTCTCTCACCACTTTTATTCAACACAGTACTGGAAATCCTAACAACAGCAGTCAGAAAACAAGAAATAAAAGTCATCCAAATCAGTAAGGAAGAAGTAAACTTTTCACTAATTGTAGATGACATACTATATACAGAAAACCCTAAAGACTCCACCAAAAAACCACCAGAACTAATAAATGAAATCAATAAAGTTGCAGGATACAACAGAAACTTGTTGCATTTCTATACACTAATAATGAAGCAGCAGAAAGAGAAATTAAGAAAACAGTACCATTTACAATTGCACCAAAAATAATAAAACACCTAAGAATAAGCATAACCAAGGAGGTCAAAGACTTATAGTTTGAAAATCATAAAACATTGATGAAAGAAATTGAAGATAACACAAATAAATAGAAAGATATTCCATATTCATGAATTCAGAGAACAAATATTGTTAAAATGTCTATACTACCTAAAGCAATCTACAGATTTAATGCAACCCTTATCAAACACCATAGCATATCTCATAGAACTAGGACAAATAATTCTAAAATCTGTATAGAACCCCAAAAGACCCCAAATAGCCAAAACAATCTTGGAAAAGAAGAAGAAAACTGGAAGTATCATAATCCATATCCTACAAAGCTGTAGTAATCAAAACAGTATAGTACTGGCACAGAAAGAGACAGAGAGATCAGTAGAACAGAATAGATAATCCAGAAATAAACCTACAATTATATGGTCAATTAATCTATGACAAAGGAGGCAAGAATGTGCAATGGGAAAAAGACAGTCTTCAATAAATGGTATTGGGAAAACTGGACAGCTACATGCTAAAGAATGAAAATGGATCACTTTTTTGCACTATACAAAAAAAAAAACTCAAAATGGATTAAAGACCTAAATATGAGACCTGAAACCATAAAAAACCTAGAAGAGAACATAGGCAATAATTTCTTTGACACTGGCAGTAGACATTTTTCTTGATGTGTCTCCTGAGGCAAGGGAAACAAAAGCAAAAATAAACTATTGGGACTACATCAAAATGAAAAGCTTCTACACAGCAAAGGAAACAATTAACAAAATTAAAAAGAAAACCTAATGAATGGGAGGAGATATTTACAAATGACAGATCTGATAAAGGATTAGTATCCAAAATATATAAAGAACTGATACAACTTAATACCAAAAAACCCCAAAGAATACAATTAAAAAATGGACAGAAAACATGAACGGAAATTTCTCCAAAGAAGATATACAGATGGCTAATAGACACATGAAAAGATGCTCAACATCACTCATCATCAGGGAAATGCAAATCAAAACTACAATGAGATATCACTTCACAATTGTCAGAATGGCTAAGCTCAAAAACACAAGAAACAAGTGTTGGTGAGGATGGCAGGAAAAGGAATCCTCATGTACTGTTGGTGGGAATGCAAACTGGTACAGCCACTGTGGAAGACAGTATGGAGGGTCTTCAAAAAATTAAAAATTTCAGAACTACCATAAAATCCAGTAACTGCACTACTGGGTATTTACCCAAAGACTACAAAACACTAATTCAAAAGGATACATGCACCCGTATGTTTATTGCAGCATTATTTACAACAGCCAAATTATAGAAGCAACCTGTGTCCATCAATAGATGAATGGATAAAGAAGAGGTGGTGTGTATAATGTGTTTGCATGTATAGGAGGATTAGGAGTAACTTAACGGAGGACCATGGGGGAGAAGAAGGGGAAAAATAGTGGGGGAGAGGGAGTCAGGCAAACCATGAGAGACTCTTGAATGCCGAGAACAAACTGAGGGCAGATGGGGGTGGGGGGAGGAGTGGGGGGGTGATGGGCATGGAGGAGGGCACTTGCGGGGATGAGCACTGGGTGTTATATGGAAGCCAACTTGACAATAAACTATTAAAAAAAAAAAAGAAGAGGTGGTGTGTATATATATATACATGTACACACACACTATGGAATACTACTTAGCCACAAAAAATAATGAAATCTTGTCATTTGCAACAACATGGATGGATCTAGAATGTATAATGCTAAATAAAATAAATCAGAGAAAGACAAATACCATATGATTTCACTCATGTGGAATTTAAGAAACCAAACAAATGAATAACAAAAAAAGAAACACACACACAAAAACCCCAGATTCTTAAATATAGAGAACTAGTGGTTATCACAGGGGAGAGGGGTCGGGATGGGTGAAATAGGTGATGGAGACTAAGAGTACACTTATCATAATGAGCACTGAGTAATGTATGGAAGTGTTGAATCAGTATATTGTACACCTGAAACTAATATAACATTGTACATTATACTGAAATTTAAAAAGCAAATTAAAAAAAAGAAATGGGTCTGGATGTTGTTTCCTACTCTCCTCTTCATCTTCATTTAACTTTTCAATTTCCCTTTTAATTCTACAAATTTCTTTGTTGGTTCCCCTTGATTATAGCATGAGCTGTTATTTTAGAAGTGGACAGTACTGCTGGTTCTTTTTCCATAGCGTAAACACTGTTCTTCAAAACAATAATGAGAAATTAACTGGCAATATTTTTTTATAGCTCTCCAGTTTAGCTTTTCACTCCTGACAACTAACTCTTCAGAAACTTGCCTTGAGTGAGATGCCTAGAACTGAAGACTGAGCATATTCACATTTAATAAGAGAGGCAACAAGTTCCCATCAAGCATTCTCAATCACTTTCCAATGGTGGCTTAACTTCTCTCAATATAGATATTCTCCTCCGCCAAAAAAAAAAAAAGAAAGAAAAAAAAGATTGTTTCCTCTTCCAGAAACTCATTCTTAAGCACCAGCACTATCATGCAGATTCCTTTTATCTAATAATTCCCCTTCTAGAAATTTGTTTCCAAAATTTAGGTCTTTTCTTTTCTCATAAGCTATTTCTCCCATCCAAATCCTTGCCTTCTACATTTATTTTTCCCTTCCTGTCTCCCCTCCTTCTTTCTTTCTGAAATAGTTTAGCAAATGCTTGAAGGCTATCTCTCCTTTGGCATGGTGCTAGGTTTTAAGGATAATAATGAAAAAGACCTGATTACTTCCTTCATGTTTACCTAGTTCCATGGTGATAAAGTCATGTATGTTTCCAAGTTACCTATAGCTTGGGACATGTGCTCACCCAAGTAATGAGATCTACAGGTATTTAAATATTAGAGATACTTAAGGGCTATCCCCTGGTCTCTTACAAGTTACCTATGTGCAGAGCAGATTCTCCTTTCATTCCTGGTATTTTCTGTATGGATATCTAATTATATGACCAGTACCATTTGTAAGAAAAGTAATTGTAATCCAAAAACTATTCGTATAAATGACATTCATTTAGAATAAAACTCATAAACCATTACTCAAGGCATTATTCACAAGCCAGAATTCCATAATTCCCATGCAAGACAAACCATTGAATATCCAGCTGGGAAAAAAAAGAGTGCAGTCTACTGGTATCACAGTACATATAAACCTCACTTCATCAAGCAAGAAAGGGGTAATCAAAACTGAATTTGGGCCTGCCAGAGTACAAGAGAGGTTATTAAAGAGAGAATTACTATATAAATGACCCTTGTGGTAATTACTATAAACTCAAAAATCCTTTTGTAAAGTGAAAAGATGACTAAAATTTTGTGAATTGTCCCCCAGTTGTATTTTCTAAATATGAATTGTATGTGTCTTGTTTCTTTGAAGAAAGAATCACTTGCAATGATGTAGAAATTTCAAGTGTATAAGAGAAAAGGGAGGCATACACACTCTGTCCTCAGTATTTAAATGGGCATTTGCTTTCATGAGCCTCTGCATCATTCCCCCCACCCCACTTTCACAAAGATAAACAGCTGGAGAGAAAAAAAAAATCACTGACTGTGGGAGTAAAAGCAGCACAATCCATGCTCAATCTCCTTTGGAGAGAGACATTCCTAAGAATATATAAATGAATGGGCTCCACAGGTAATAACAATGAACTGTGTCAGAATTGAGCTGGTGGGGGATGTAGGGGATGGCAGGGAATGTGGGAACTGGGGAAATCTCTAGCAGTTTATGCTGTGCTATCTGCCTTCCTCATTTGTGTGTTTTCTGAGTCAGCATTAGCTGAATTTTCCAGAAAGCAATCCACAAAGTACAGCCTGGGCATTTAAGGGACGTCACTCATTTCCCCCCAGTGACCTTGACAAGTCAGAAGCTTGAAAGCAGGGAAATCCGGATGTCTCAGTTATGAAATGAAGCAGTGGGAGTCTAATACATTTCCAGAAGACACCATCTAGACTGGTGATTGTCTGCTTCTATTGCTGCCAGTGGCCACCCAGTGTGCTTCTCTGGCATATAAGGGATTGGCATAATGGTCAAGTGCTTCAGCCTGATGTTGCTTCTTACTTCCATCTGGACCACAAAGCTCCTGGTCCACGGCTCTCTCCGCGCAGAAGGTAGGTTTCTGACCAGATTTCCAACCTGAAGCAAGACAAGATCTTGCAAACTGTCCTAAGCCTACCAAATTCTTAACTGTAGATTGCTGGGAGTAGAAGCAATCCTCAATATCCACAGACTTAGTTCACAGTGTTGCTCTGCCAGAAATGTTTTTATCTTATTGTTGACTTCACCAAAATGATTCACATTTACCTTTATGTTATTTTGACTTTTATTTTTGGTTATGGAATCTTTTTAATAAGAATATTTTGAAACAAAATATTGAGGAGAATTTGTTTTTAAAAGTATTTCATTGAAAAAAACAAACCATGCTTGTAATGAATTTTAAGCAAGCTCTAAAAGCTGGGGAAAATGGCCAACTTTCACTAAATATTGACTTGTTTTATAGTTTTGGAAGTGTCAATATAATTATTTTAATTTCAATTTTGCTATATTACAATAGAATGCATATGTTTTTAACATAAAATAAATAGCAAATTAAATGAAAAAAATGTTGAAAATATAGGTTTGAAAATTAGTCATTATCTCCCTACCAAAGGAATGACTTTGAAGGATTTCCAGGCTTTTGAGATGCCTCAGTGGTAACCTCATTCTGCACGTAGGCAAAAAAATTATAACCACAAATCACTCAGTAGTTCCAGGCAAACGAAAACTTGAGCATTTTAAAAAAGGAAATTGTGTGTTCCAGTGCTGGAAGAGGCTCTGTGATATGAAACAGGTAGGAATCAGATATCTTGAGTTGATTCATATATTGTTATATTTATTATAAGAACCTAGAGTAATATTTTTTTTCAAAATTATAGAACCGTTACTCTCAAATAAGTTTGGTCCTCTTTGAAATTCCTCTGGGGAACTTTTCCCCACAATGCTGCCATTACTCAAACATTTTGGAAATTTTTCTTTGACAATGATTCCATTGCACTCTTTGGACTATCTTTGATGATGACAAAAATTTCCTAAGGAAATTAAATTATATCTATTATATTTTATAGTATATAAATGTTTATGTATGTAATATATGAAATTTCATTTAATCTTCTCAAGAAGGGGCACCTAGGTGCCTCAGCTGGTTAAGCATCTGACTTTTGATTTTGGCTCAGGTCATGATCTCATGGTTTTTGAGGTCTGTACGGACAACAGGGAACCTACTTGGGATTCTCTCTCTCTCCCTCTCTCCACCCCTCCCCCATTCTTGTGCTCTCACTTTCTCTCCCCTCTCAAGAAGACATTTTATAGATGAAGCAATGGGCTCAAATGAGGCCAACTGACTTGCCTAATGCCATATAGATGGTAAATAATAAAGCTTGGGTTTGAATTCAGCTCTATCTCATCCTAAGCATACAGTATTTCTACTATGCCTGCTGTTTCCTAAAAATTCTTAAGGAAGAGGTTAGTGGAGTAGCCCTTGGATTTCAACTCCCTACTTTTGTCTTTAAATGAAATAGGAAAACATAAAAATGACTAATATTTGTTGACTATCTATTATGAACCCAGCTCCTATTAGGTACAAGTTATCTAACTTAATTCTGATAAAAATTTTGTGAAGAAGATAGAACCATCTCCTTCTTACAAATGAGTACACTAACTTGCCAGAGTCCCGGAGCCTATTGATAACAGATGAAATAATCAAAGCTAGGTCCATTGTCCAGAATAGGTCTATCATTACTCAAAATAATAACTTTTAAGGTAAAAATGAGTTATGGTGAAAGAGTAGCAAGACCACTTTATAGTGTAATTAATAAACCTTCTCTGCAGGTATTCCTAAAGCAGCAGTTGTGATATTTGAGCAATAGCAAGCTCATTGGATAAGTAAGCAAAATTCCAGGATGTTTGAAGAATTCAGCTCTAATTACAATGTGTATGTGTATGTGTGTGTGTGCGTGCACACACGTGCACATACACGTTCATCTTCTCCATAACACAGTGGGAAGTAGAATAGTGGGGTTTTAGAGTCAGTCATAATTGGATTTGTGCACCCAATCTGTCCTATATCCATGCTTTATATCCTTGGGTTTGGGGAAGTTATTTAATCTCCCTGAGCCTCAACTTTCTATTAAAGGAGACAGGATTTGGCACAGAATAGCATAAACAGATGATAGACGTTAGAATTAGTATTAGTATTCTTTTAAGTTTATTTATTTATTCTGAGAGAGACAGGGAGAGTGAGAGCAGGGGAGGAGCAGAGAGAGAGAATCACAGAAGACTCTGCACTGTCAGTGCCACCCAGGTATCCCTAGTATTAGTATTAATATCAGTATTCCTATAAGTATTAGTATTAGTGCATATAGACATAAGAGGTTGTTTTGTCACAAACACTCATATTGGGGTGTTGACTCTTCGGTTTCTCATTGTGAGAACAAGGTCTGGAAGCAAATAAGGCCATCCACAAATATTGTGCATCACATACATATTATTCTTTTAGCCTCCTGCTCTAGAGCATAGCAAGGTCACATAGAAGACTTAGAAATGCTCCTTCCATGTTTGCAAGAAACTTATTTTAAATATCAACCTAGAAAGTGATCAAAGAATTTGGGCATCCAATGCACAAGTCTGTGTACAAGCAACTTCTTAGAAGATTGTAATGCCCTCTTAGGGACTTTTGTGGACAAAGCCCAATAGGAATAATAGACCTGAATGCAATACAACTTTGCGATTTTATATAAATCTATAAATCCCAGAAACAAGAAAAGTGATCTAAAGAGCTCTTGGATTCACAAACTTTTGAGTAAAATATATTTACAATATATCTATTCAACTGCCTCAGCTTCCCTTGAGAGATCAGGCACTATGCTAAGCATTTTTATTTCAATTAACTCATTCAACTCTCACTACCCTATACAATAGATACTGTTACTCTCTCAATTTTACAAATAAGGAAATTGAGGCTCAAAAATATTAAACAACTAGCCTAAGATCACAGAGCTAGCAAGTGACATAGCCCAGACTCTAAAATCCAACTTTCTTTATTTAGTTTTTCCGCCATGCCAGGTTTACTGCCTGGTTTCTCTAGGAACTTCTGAGTAAGCCTGCCCCCCAATGGTCAAAGAACATCTGGGACTGAGAAAGCTCATATTCTTTTATACCAAGTGCAACATTTTTCAGCCTATCTCAGAAACAATGGTGTTCCCAAGCCACATTGGTTTGGCATATTGTTAGCCATTCTATCAATCAGAGCCCTGAATTCTATTTTGCTCAAAGTTTCAGACCTTTCATTTTATAGATTCCAAAAAGGTTGGCAGCAACTGTATCACCTAGACTCAACCCAAGGAACTGGTGGCCAAAGTCTATATGTAAAGAACAAGGCACCTTAATGCAGTGGGGTGTGATAGACTTGGATCTGATGAGAGGAACGCTGGGACCAGAGCAAAGACCTACCCTAATCCAGCAGGATGTCCTTGTGGGAAATGTCTGGCCTGTTATATCTAACCTTCAATCCCAGCCACTAGGACCTCACTGCTCTATCAAGACAATAATACTCTGTTAGGAAAAATAGCCTACAGGCTGGGAACAAGGACAGCAGCAAATTGAGGACCTCTGTGACTCCTTTGCAGAACTTTCCATCTCAGCACCATGCAGAATTGTAGGGGTCACCCTTGTGAACAAAAAGACAACCCAGCAGCTGAATTTCACAGAAGCCCAGGAGGCCTGTAGGCTGATGGGACTAACTTTGGCCAGCAAAGACCAGATTGAAGCAGCATGGAGATCTGGCTTTGAGACTTGCAGGTGAGAAACAACTGGATTCACAACACTGCTGGACCTTTTCCAGCTCTGTGTTCTTGTTCAGCAACAGAGATAAATGTATCCATTCAACTAATGTGTATTCTTTTATAGCTATGGATGGGTTGCAGATAAGTTTTTGGTCATCCCTCGGATTCTCCCGAACCCCAAGTGTGGGAAGAATGGGATGGGTGTCCTGGTTTGGAGAAATTCACTCAGCAAAAAGTTCTTGGCCTACTGTTACAACTCATCTGGTGAGTCAGATCTGTAGCCTCTCCTTTTTTTCTCTAGCTCTATGACCCGTCTGAGAAGAGTAGCCCTGAGTAGCAGCAGAAGGAATCTTGGTGATGGTCATTTAATACTCCCAATACTGCCTCTATATAGGACCAGGCCAGAGGTGGCCATGTGTCCCTCATAGGAAAAAGTGAGGGAAAATATGACTAAATGGCAACATAGGGAGGGGGCAACCCAGGAGGTTCCATTACCCACATTCCTCCATTTTATAAGATAAATAAGAAGAAGGTAAGGAAATATTCACTATAGGCAAAGCAGTGTACCAAGTTATCACACTGAACCTTCACAATCTCTCTACAAGGTGTACTTTGTTACTCTCATTTTGCAGAGCAGAAAATTTACCCCAGAGGACATAAGTATATTTGTCTAAGTTCTCATTACAACAAAGATTTTAACATAGGTCTAACTCTGACACCATGCTCTTTACCTTACCCTACATTCCTTTAGAGAAGAAGAAATGCAGATGCTACAGTTTTTCTTTTTTTAAGTAGACTTCACATCCAGCATGGATCCCAGTGCGGAGCTTGAACTCATGACCCTGAGATCAAGACCTGAGCTGGATCAAGAGTCACATGCTTCACTAACTGAGCCACCCAGGGGCCCCACTACACTTGACATTTTTAAGAATAAGATCATTTTATGAAGGAAGGAGGTGAAGCTAGAAAATAGAATTGGTTTGCTCATGGTCACACAGCCATCCTTTTAACTTTGCTTGGAGACCGCAGCCACCTTATCCCAAGTGGTCTATCTAAGGAACTTCTCAGAAAGTTTTTTCACTAAATATTTGTTCTCTGCTGATTTATTACACTTCACACATACACATAAATCTGACCTTCTAAAGATCAGATAGCTAAGTGGTCATATACAAGGATAGATTCCAAAGTCATTTTCTAAGATCCAAGAGATAAGTGTGCACCAGCAACATTATATTGTCCAAAGACAAAATAGGATCCAAGCAGTTCTCTGAATCAGGAGGCTTTGACCTAGAAAGAGCCCTGAAAGACGCTCTGTCCTCTTCCCTCATTTCATGGATGAAATGACAGCTCAGAATGAAGGTTTGGCTTGTTCAGTTGGTGGCAGAGTCAAAACTGAAATAAAGTTTTTTTTTATTTGTTTCACCATCCTCCTTCACTCTTATGCTTTTTATGCCTACCATCTTTAGTTGGGTAATTGGTGGCTCACATGCCTGTTTATCTCATGGCCAGCCCATTCCTGTCAAGTGGCCTAGTCTTTTAACTTCCTGGCCTTCCTCCCAGCAGTCAGTGTGATGATGTGATACCCAGTCCTCTGAACTTCACAAAATAGAGTCAGAGGAAGAGGGCTTGGATTTGTATATTTCCTCATGGTTTCATTTAACTTGTACTTCCATCCCCTATATTTCCTGTATACTTAAAGTTAGATCTCAAGGCTTGATTAGACCCTTGTTCAGCATTTTGGGAATAATACTTCATAGATGATACTGTGTACTTTAGATTCCATCTCAACTTAATGTATGTCCCACTATTAATATGCTAACTTTGATCATTTGAATACGATGGTGACTACCAGACCTCTCTAAATGAACTCATAAAGATATGCTTTTCCCCTTGCAATGAGTAAGTAATCCATAATGTGATATTTTGGCACCATGCAAATATTCTGACCCCAACTATCTTGTACCTAGAGTTTAAGCAGCCATTGGTTATTCTTACTGGAATCAGTTATTATATGTGGGGTTACAAAATGGTGATTTTCTAAATCTTCCTTCTGCATTTATTAGCTGGCATTCTTTGATACAGAATCTCTCTCTCTCTCTCTCTCTTTCTCTCTCTCTCTCTCACACACACACACACACACTCTTCCCTCCCTCTTATACTACTATGAACACATCACCTTTTACTTATTCTGTGTGTTCAACATGTTATAATCAATTTTACAATTATTATTCTTTTTGAGGCTCAAATTGTCTCAAATTTGGTGAGTAGGAGCGCCTTCTAGTTGACTTCTGTGTTCTTTATTCCATTAGTATTTGAGTAATTCCTTGCTTTCTGACATAATAGCATGTTCCACACTTACGTTGTACTTTCTCTGCTCATGATATGGAATAAGTCACTTATTATACACATATATACACACACACAGGCTTATATCTAAAAATTAATTTGGGGGTGCCTGGGTGGCTCAGTCAGTTAAGAATCCGACTTCAGCTCAGGTCATGATCTGGTGGTCCATGAGCTAGAGCACTGCATCAAGCTCTGTACTGATAGCTCAGAGCCTGGAGCCTGCTTCAGAATCTGTGTCCTCATCTCTCTCTGCCCCTCCCTCACTCACACGCTCTCTCTCTCTAAAGTAAATAAACATTAAAAATTTTTTTAAAATTAGGGATCAAAGTGCTTTGAATGCTCTGCATGTAAAGTTTCATGCTGTTTTCTCTGCTACAATGCTCATTTTCCTCCCTATTTAGTTAACTGCTACTCTTTATTCAATTCTCAAGTGCCATCATCTTCAAGAAGCCTTCCCATACCCTTTACTCCTAGCTTTCCTCTTGGACTCCAACCACACTCTGTGTTTAGTATCAGAACACTTGGCACATCCTAAAGAAATCATATTCATAGTTTGAGGTGTGTCCTCAACCCAGTAGGGATTATGAGACCAGATTGATGTTGCTCCCTCACATTGTGGCCCTGTTGGCTACATTTAATGAATAGAGAGGCAAAGGAAACTAATTTTTAGATAGTTCCTGTCTATGATGCCCGTACATTATGCTAGGCCCTATACATTTATTATCTCATTAATCCTCAGTAAAATGACACAAGGGTATCATTTCTATTTTCCAGGAGAAATAACTGATGTTTAGAGTGTATTTTGCTATGGTCCTAGTCAATAAGGAAAGAGCCAGGATTTAAATCTTGAGCCACACTACTTCCATGTAGCACCTTCCATGGTGATGACTACATATCAATAACATATCAGACCCAGGTTGGGTTCTGGGCATCAATATTTTTAAAAGCTCCCAGATGATTCTAACCTGTAGCCGGGGTTCAAAATCACTTTTTCCTAGGAGATCTCTAAAATATAACTTTTAGGATTCCAGATACTTCAGGATTCCCCTATTTTCTTTGCAATTGCAATAATCCCCTTCCTTTTTTCTGAATTGTACTCTCTCCTCACTGCATTTCATCCTCCACACACCTCTACTGATAATTATGTTACTCCTCTGCTCTGTAGCCCTTGGTGACTTCCTATTTGAGAATATGATATAAACTATGAAGCCTTTTACACATAAAAGTTTGCATGTATGAGAACTCCTGTATATCAGTTGGGAGGTTTGTGGACCCAGTTGAAAATTCTATTTCCTACAAAATACATTCTAAATGCTTTAACAAGGCAATTATGAATCAATACTCTGGCTCTAGTCCATCTACCTAGTCTCATCTCCTACTTACAGTCCTTCATGCTCCCAATCATATATACACTTTATTCTTCAACCACACTGCATTCCTTGTCATTTTTCTATATAACTACATTTTTAAACTTCTGGTTTCTTGGATCATGCTGTTCCTATTGACTGCACTATTCTATTCCTTCTTCTATACAGCTGCTGCTGTGTTCTAAACATACTGGCTTTTTTTTCGTCAAACATACTGAATTCATTCAGCTTTGTGGTCTTGAACTTCCTGTTCTCTTTTCTTGGAATGATTTTGCCTTAGATTTTCAATGACTGGCTACTTTTTATTATTTAGGCCTCAGCTTAAGTATCACCTCCTCACTTTCTCCTATCATCCTATTCAAAGTATCTTCTTGGGGTGCCTGGATGGCTCAGTCAATTAAGCATCTGACTTCAGCTCAGGTCATAATCTCATGGTTTATGAGTTCAAGCCCTGCATCAGGACCTGTGCTGATAGGTCAGAGCCTAGAGCTTGCTTCAGATTCTGTGTCTCCTTCCCTCCCCCTCCCCTGCTTGTGCTCTGTCTCTCTCTCTCTCTCAAAAATAAACATTAAAAAATTTTTTATAGTTACAAATAGAGAGAGGGAAGCAAACCATAAGAGACTTTTTTTTAAAATCTTTCCTTCATTAGCACATAAGTCTCTTAAATATAAGGACTTTAACACCTAGAACAGTGTTTGGCTCAGAGTTGGAGCTCAATAAATACTTGTTGAACAAACATATTGATCCTCTATACTTTACTCAAATGCCATCTCCTCTGTGAATCCCCAGTGATCTCCTCCTACCTTTTTCAAAATACTTCTGTCCTGGAAATTAACTAGGCCTTAATTGTCTCTGTATTTTTAGTTCCCAACAAAGTATGTTGTGCTCATATGTTTTTTCCCTGATATTGAAATATTGAAAATTTTTCATTTTTGAAGAAAAAAACTTAGCATGTGCTCAAGAATGAGAAATATAACTAAAAGTTCAAGGCAGAGGTGAAGGATGATGTGTGTTTGAATACAGATATTTTCTAAGTAAAATAAATGGTATAAAATTATGACTGAATGTGTGTGTAATCAAAATGTTTTATCAGTAGTATCTATGACCTTGATTGGTAATTTATTGTATTTTTCAAAAATGAATAACTTTTTCTTCCTACCTAATATTCCAGCTGATGCTACCCACTACCAGAAATAAGTAGGAATTTGAAATACATGCAAACTCATAATATGTGGCTCTGCCATTTACTAGCTATGTGACTTTGGGCAAGTTATTCAATTTCACTGAACTTCAGTTTCCCCTATAAAATGAGAGCTTAATAAAATTGTTGAAGTGTCATGATTGACTCAGTTAGCTGCTCAAAAGATGTTGAGTTTCCTCTCAACCAGAGCCAACAGATAGGAAACAGATAAACCTATATCCCTCCCCTGCACCTCTCCTTAATTTTTTTTATTTTGAAGAGCATATAGAAATCTGGTTTTAGATCTTTATCCTGAAGTGGTGTCATGTGTGCATATTCAGTTTCCCAGCTATTCCTTCCATCCTGTCACTTTTCCTTTCTTTCTTTAATCATCAAATATTTACTGAGCATGTATTATGTGCTAGGCACAGGGAATGACGAAGACAGACAGGAGTCCTGCTTCCAGGAAGCTCACCCAGTATAGAGCAGTGCAATGAGAACCTTGACAAGGGAAGTATAAGGAGGTACAAAAACATATGCCTCAGAACCCAATCTACTCATCAAGCCTGCCTAATAAAGAGATGGTCAATCTGAGACTTGAAGGGTAAATAATAGCTAAGTAAAGAGAGGGCAAAGAGTCTTACAGGTGAAGAAAGCATCGAGGTCAAAGGCTTGGATATGAGAGAAAGCATATCAAACAAACTGAAGAAATCTGAGTAGGCAAGAGGAAGGAGAGACACACTGATCAGATAAGGCTAGCCATGTCACCGGAGACATCACAGAGGGCCTTACAGGCGAATGAGTAGAGGCAGTCACTGAAGGATTCTAAGGAAGTGATATAATTAGATTTGCATTTTTCTAAGACCATTCTGGCTGCAGTATGAGGGGACTGGAAAGGAGTAAGACTAGAGGCAGGAAGAACATTAGGAGGCTGTTCCAATACTTACTTGTTACTTTATTTTTTCCTTCCCCAATAGATACTCGGATTAACTCATGCTCTCCAGAAATTACCACCACCAAAGATTCCATATTCAACACTCAAGCAGCAACATACACAACACAAATGATCATCAGTGACAGTCCCGACTCAGCTTCATCTACTGTTGCACCTTACTCTCCTACACCTACTCTTGCTCCTACTTCTGCTTTGGCTTCCACTTCTCGACGGAAAAGAAAATTGATTTGTGTAACAGAAGCTTTTGTAGAAACTAGCACCATATCTACAGAAACAGAGTCATATGTTGAAAATAAAGCAGCATTCAAGAATGAAGTTGTTGGGTTTGGAGGTAAAAGCTTTCTGTGTTTGCACTGTATGTGTGTGTGCTTGTGTGTTTATGTACAACAGAAAATACTTAGAAACCAGGTTGTCTCCAGACTGGCCACTCAGAACCTGCCAAATGTAAGTAAAACCTTAATGCAAACTCAACTTTCATAAAGTCATAGAACCTGAGGACTCTAAAGAACCTTAATGATTAAATAAAAATCATGAGTATAAAATAGCCTCACTTTTAAAATTCAAACTTTAAAAAGTAAGTCACTATCTATTAATACATCAGAGTTTTAAAAATATATATATACCTTTAAATGCCTATGATTAGAAAGTTTGTCTTCCTATCTAAAAGGAAGAGTTTACACTTAATTAGCTCCAAACCCATCATTCCACGGCCACAGAGAGGAAATGGACTCTACAATATTGCAATTTATAGAATAGAGCTTGAGAGGCAAGGCCCGGGATTCTACAGGAAAAGAAGCAAAGAAGCAGATATGGGCCCAACATTCTAAACAGCTCGTTTGTGGTCGCAGAGAAGGCTTTTCTCCTACATTATCTGTTGTCTTGATCTGTGTAAAGAATCATTAGAAGAGCAGCACATAACACTGTGTAAGCAAAGGACCCACAGACGTGTCTCTGTTTCCTCCAGGTATCCCCACGGCTCTGCTAGTGCTTGCACTCCTCTTCTTTGCTGCTGCAGCTGGTCTCGCAGTTTGCTACGTCAAAAGGTGGGGTTGTTTGTCACATTCCTGTCTTGCATTTTTCCAGGGTTGTTGTTAACATTTCCTTAGTCAAAACAGAGACAGTATATTGTAAAATTTCTCCTTCTTCTAACCTCTCCTCCCTATCACCCAATCTTTCCTACTATTTCAGCACATACATGTCATCCAGCCTTTAGAAACAGGTCAATGGGTGTCACTTTGAAAATCAAGAGATAAAAAGAAAAGACTGAAATCTAGGGGGGAGGTATATGCTTTATTTTGATTCTGAATTCTGTTGTTGGTGTGAGGGTTGTGAGGTCAGCCTCAAGCATAGCCTGCAAACTTACTGTCTCATCTAAATGAATCCACTAAGGTAGGATGCAATGTATTTGAGTGTGCATGTGTTAGCATCTCTCTGACATAAACGTACCCAGCGTACTGTGCTAATACGGGCCATCAAGACAGAGTGTTATCTACTGTCATATATGTTACATAGAAGTGTCTCGCTTTAATTTTATGTTTAAGCCTATAGGTATGTGAAGACCTTCCCTTTTACAAACAAGAATCAGCAGAAGGAGATGATTGAAACCAAAGTAGTAAAGGAAGAGAAGGCTGATGATAGCAATCCTAATGAGGAATCAAAGAAAGCTGATAAAAAGCCAGAAGAGTCCAAGAGTCTGCCCAAAAATACAGTGCGATGCCTGGAGGCTGAAGTTTAGAAGAGAAAGAAATGAGAGGACACACCTGAGGCTGATTTCTTTCCTGATGCATATCCTGGACCTAGATGGGGAAACTTAAAGGGCCAAAGAACAAAACAAGAAAGTCCACCCTTGGTTCCTAAATGGAATCAACTCAGGGCTACCTTTGGACTATGGAGTTCACCAAACGGAATTCCCTTCTTCTTACTGCAATCCTTTCTGGATCCTATCCTTCTACCTCCGAAGCTTCCCACACACAACCTTTCTACCTGGCTATGTCCTAATAACATCTCTGTGGGAGAAAGGAGTTTTACAAAGCACAAGGACCTAAAACAGCTAATCAGAACACATTTATAAAGAGGCTTCTCAGCTGGCTGACAATATGTGAGTTGAGAACCAAGAAATTGTCGAGACCAAGGCTTTCTCTATTGACTCCACAGGCCAGATCCTTTCTTCAGCTCTGAAAAGGTAACACACATCACCTGGCATGCCCTTCTGAGCCAGGCAAGAACAAAAGAAGGAAGGAAAAGTTCAGCAACCAAAGGCCATGGACATTCCCATGTGTGAGACCTGATCTCTGTAAGCCAAAATAAGTAGAGAAAAAGAACAAGGCTGAGGATGTTGCCAGCATATTGTCAGCAGGGACTATAAGTACAAACAGGGTGAAGGTAGTCATCTCTGAATAGTCTGAGTTGGAATCACTTTTTAGAACACACTTTTCTCTTTCTCTCTCTCTCGCTGCTGCCATTTTTTTTCTAGAAGTACATACAAAGGACTCCCCCTAAATAAAATTCTCTTACAAATTTTTATTTTTATCTGAGTTGTATCTGGGAAATTATTACTGAAGAAAACTACTGTGTTAAAAAGCAGTAAAATTTAACAAACATTTACTAAATTCCTACTATATGTCAGGTGCTGGGTAAGGTATTATATTCTATAATAGAATATTATTTATCAAAAACTTGCAAACAGTAAAATGTATTAAACGAATTTTTTTCAGTTTTGATATCCTTAGTGTATCTACTTGCAAAGCTAATTTTTTGCTAAGACTAATCCATTCACTATTTTCTCTAATATGGCAGACATTATAACCTTAATTTATTATTAACATAACCAAAAAGTACATTATTACCTCTATACACCAAAGCATATTTTGAAAACGTCATTAACAAATGTATTGCCAGTTCTTTTTTCAGCAAGAAGAGCTCAAGAGGTGCAGAGATATTTGTGTCAAAAAAATAAAAGCATTTAGAAAATTTTGTCGCTCTCTTATTTACATACATGCATTATACCTTTCATGGAAAACTGAAGCAATCTGTTTTTCACAAAAGTAAGAGAGACAACTTTGATTGTTGAAAAACAAATATTTGTAAACCCAGCGGTTCATACATCACCATATGGCGCTATGCTTGCTTCAGGTGGTCTTATTTTAAGTTGGTCAAGTACTCACACATAAAAACAGTCCTTTACTTAGGATTCAGGTCCTATATTATGACCCATTTCAGAGTTCACAGAGAGCTGAAGATTCAGGATTGTTCCTCCGTCCCGTTTCTCTAGCTTTCTCTCTCCCTCTCTCTACTCTTCCCTTCCAAAAGGGAATATCACCTGCTAATATTGTCTTCCCCTTACCAGTGTTGCCACAGCTAGCTAACTCCATGGTCCTTTCAGCTCAGAAACCATAAAATGCTGGCACAAGCTTTTGTGGTTGGCCCAGAGTATTATCTTAAATTTTGGTTTAGTTGCCAGGAATTAAAAACCAAGAGGTTCCTAGTTAGCTAAATCAGTAGAGTATGTGACTCTTGATCCAGGGGTTGTGAGTTCAAGCCCCATGTTGGGTGTAGAGATTACTTAAAAATAAAATCCTTTTGGGGCGCCTGGGTGGCTTAGTCGGTTGAGCGTCCGACTTTCGCTTAGGTCATGATCTCGCAGTTTGTGGGTTCGAGCCCCGCGTCGGGCTCTGTGCTGACTGCCACCGCAGCGCCTGTTTCAGTCTGTGACTCCCTCTCTCTCTGACCCTCCCCTGCTCACGCTGTCTCTCTCTCTCTCCTAGAAATAAATAAAAATAGAAAAAAAAATAAAAAAATAAAAAAAATAAAATCCTTTTAAGAATCAAGGGTTTTGGGGCACCTGGGTGGCTCAGTCGGTTAAGTGTCCGACTTTGGCTCAGATCATGATCTCACAGTTCATGGGTTCGAGCCCCACATTGGGCTCTGTGCTGACAGCTAGCTCAGAGTCTGGAGCCTGTCTTCAGATTCTGTATCTCCCTCTCTCTCTGACCCTCCCCTGATCACACATACACACTCTCTCTCAAAACGAAATAAAACATTAAAAATTTTTTTTAAATCAAGGGTTTTCACATATTTATATTTCTGGATTCCCTCGAAAAATGGGAAGATCTGGAAATCGAGAACCCATATTCCTTCACAACAATAACTATCTCAGACTGAGTAGTGGCTATCCCCTTTTAAAGGGCTTTACTTGCTTCACATCACCACAGTGTTCACTCTCTATTCCACTTTCATTCCAAAATAAAGGTGTCATGTCCTATGGATCTTGTAATACTATTGCTTTTTCTTTCACACTCAGCCCATTTCACTCATTTACAATCTTCCAGGTGCTGAGGTCCATGAGTTTGAAATTCTGGTTTGTCAGTCCTTAAGTTTTATTAGCCTCATCTAGTTCTCAAGGAGTGAAGAGGAAAAAGCAGAAAAGAGCCTAAGTAATGGTCTTCCTTTTGTGTTAGCTGAAAAATAATCAGATCTTCCAAACTAGATCTCCCATCTTGCAGGGCATCTACTATATATTAAGATACTATCATCTTCTATTAATTCAGACAGGTATGTGCCCTTCTCAGGAGGAGGAAGGGGGAAGGAGAAAACCCCACCCATCCACATATAATCACTTGATAGTCCAGATGGCAAATGCAAACATACTGATGAAATATGTAACTTTCACTGTTATGGAAGAAAGGAAAGGAAGGAAGGGAGGGAGGGTGGAAAGGAATAACATTGAGTACCTACTAAGTGGCAGTCATTTTCACATGTTGTCCTGTTTAATCACTATGTTTTCTCTGAGCAGAGTTAATACTGTCATTTTTTATTAATTAGAAAATTAGATTTTTAGAGGAGTTAAATCATTTTTCTATGGTCATAGGTCTACTTATATGCTAAAGGTAGGATTCAATCCCACGTCAGAATGACTGCAGAGCCCATACTCCTTTCTCTACCCCACCAGACTGTTTTGCAAATGACAATAGAGCGATGTAAATGAGTCTGGTATGTAAGCTTGAAATTGTGTCACTTGCCAAAAAACAATAGTGGGAAAATAAGAAAAACAACCCAGGACCCCTGTCCCAACTTCAGGGATTGTTTTCCTAAATCCACTTGCAATAACAAGGAAAAAAAGGAACTACTAAAAACCTTTGAGAGCTGTTCCTTCATAGATGCAGACACCAACCTCAGCAAAGATTTACCTGGTCCAGCTCATAGGGTCAAAAAATCCAAGGCTCACAAGGATCCAAGATAAGCTCCTCTAAAGTTTAAATTCTTTCTTCACAAAGTTAAAAAAAAAAAAAATGAAGCCAAATGTCGCAGATAGCTAGAAGTGAAGTAGAGCCTGGTCTACAAGTCTCCTTCCTATCAAATTCTCTTTATTCTCCACTGAACAAAGAGAAATTAGAAGAATACAAGGGATGACCCCAGTTCAGACCTACAATCTGGCCTACCAAAGCCAGTCTTCAAACAAGACAAGTAGACAACCACATGATTAGTTTATTAGGTGGTGCACAGGATCTCTGCCCAGAAATGCCTCTTCTTCATGCCTGCCTCCCTGGCTAAAACAATATACATCCATTCCCTTGTAAAACTAACTGCTTTTTATAAAAACCAGGCCAACTATCAAGTATAAACATGCTAATGTGCATCCAATAAAAACAAGCGGATTTCTAAGATTGGAAAGGTGAAGTAAAGCAGAGGACTTGATGTCCAGCACATGAATGAACATAGTGAGAATTTACAAATGTCCATGGGCTTGAACAAGATTGAATCATGTTGAGATTTCCAGGGCAAAGAATCCTACATGTTATTGCCCTTCTCTAGACTTTTAGCTGGTTACCAAAGCAAAATCAAAGTAGGAAAGAGCAGGTTTCTAAGGACAATAATAACACTCAAGTAAATAAATTCTTAACAAGGAATGAGACACACACACATACACACACACACAGGTTTAAGTTTCCAAACAGGAAGAAAAGCAATTATTTGTCAATTCAATCTCCTAGTTAAATGTAAATAAGATTTAGTTTACCTTATAATAGTCTATATGTAAGGTCAGGTTTGCCCTAAGAGCATTTTTTTTTTTTTTAAAGGAAATTTTTTTTAATGTTTTATTTATTTCTAGGAGAGAGAGAGAGAGACAGCGTGAGCAGGGGAGGGTCAGAGAAAGAGGAAGTCACAGACCGAAACAGGCTCCAGGCTCTGAGCTGGCAGTCAGCACAAAGCCCGATGCGGGGCTCGAACCCACGAACTGTGAGATCATGACCTAAGCGAAAGTCGGAGGCTTAGCCGACTAAGCCACCCAGGTGCCCCGAGAGCATTTTTAATAATATTAAAACAAGCTAAAATCATTCTCTCTGTGTATGTTCCCCAGGAAATGCCCAAATTTCCATACAGTGCCGATATGATTTAGGATGTCCTCCTTTAGTATCTAGGCCATTTACTTTTTATTAAAAATTTTTATAATGTTTATTTGTTTTTGAGAGAGAGAGAGAAAAAAAGAGAAAGAGAGACAGTGTGTGAGCAGGGGAGGAGCAGAGAGAGGAAAACACAGAACTCGAAGCAGGCTCCAGGTTCTGCCTTGCCAGCACAGAGTCTGATGTGGGGCTCAAATTCATGAACTGTGAGATAGTGACCTGAGCCGAAGTCAGTTGCTTAACTGACTAAGCCACCCTGGTGCCCCAAGTCCATTTACTTTTTAAAAATAATTTTTTTAGAGTAATTTTAAATTCACTTAGAAAAAAAAAGTAGAGATAGCAATAAAGAGTTCTCACATACCCCACAGCCAGTTTCCCATTATTATTAACATATTAGTATGGTACATTTGCCATGTTTAATGAACCAATATTGATATGTTATTATTAACTAAAATGTGTAATTTATTCTGACTTCCTTAGTTTTTACCTAATATCCTTTTTTCTTTTCCAGGTCCCATCCAAGATATATTACAGTTAGTTGTAATGTCTCCGTAGTCTTCTCTTGGCTATGACAATTTCTCAAACTTTCCTTGCTCTTGATAACCATGTCAATTTTGAGGAGTACTAGTCAGGAATTGTGCACCCTTCAGTTGGGGTTTCTCTGATGTTTTCTTATAACACTGGAGAAGGGGAGAAAGATCACAAAGGTAAAGTGCTATTTTCATCACAGCATATCCAACATACATACTATCAACACCTATCACTGTTGGTGTTAACCTTGCCCACCTGGCTGAGGTAGTGTTCATCAGTTTTCTCCAATGTAAAGTTACTCTTTTTCCCTCTTTCCATACTGTACTATGGAAAGAAGTCCTATACATAGTCCATACATAAATCAAGGGCAGTTATGTTCTGCTCCTTGAAAACAGAATATCTACATAAATTATTTAGAATTCTCCTGTGTAGGAGATTCATCTATTTTCCCTCATTAATTTATTCAATGCTTTATTTACATCAGTGTGGATGAATATTTATTTTCTACTTTACATTATAATCCAATGCTATTTATTTTTTGTTCAGCTTTTATTATTTGTTCCAGCTTTGATCATTGGGTATCTTTTCAGT